AGCTCACCACCATCCAAAGAGCAAAATGTGTATTCTTCTTGTTAACTTTTTTTACTTCAGCAATTAAAAAATAGAATTAAAACTTCTGTTATAAACTGTAAGAAGGACACTATAGAGCAAAGTGATAGTTCTTGTACGGGAGGTTAAATTTTATTCATTTATTTCACAAGATTTTTATATCATTTGAATGTAATAAGCGCTCAAATCAGTTTACAAGAAGAACAAAACAATAAAATTATCAGTTCAAAACAGTTTAAAACTATTCAAAACATTCAGAGAATAAAAATAAACAATACGCTAAATACCAGATTAAAACACTTGTTAACATTCTGCATGTCTGGATAGGCTTGCCTAAACAAAAATGTTTTCAGCAGGGGCTGAAAAGAATACAGTCATACCTCTTTTTACGTTTGCTTCATGATACGTTTTTTCAGGTTGCGTTCTGCGGTGACCCAGAAGTACTGGAAAGGGTTACTTCCGGGTTTCACCACTCGCACATGCGTAGACCTGCAAAATGACATCATGCGCATGTGCAGAAGTGGCGAATCGCAACCCGCATGTGCGCAGAAGCGGGTTGCGTTCCTTTCGGGTTGCAAATGGGGCTCCAGAACGGATCCCGTTCGCAACCAGAGGTACCACTGTACAGTGAAGGTGCCTGCCTGAAGTCAAATCGGCAGGGAGGTCCAAGGTGGAGGTGCTGCCACGCTAAAGCACTGATTTCTTACAGATGCAGAACAAGTATTATGCAGCATATGTAACCATGCCAGTTCCACAAATCTAAGTGGTCAAGTGGGCACAAATCAGGCAAGATGATCCAACAAATAAACTGGTCCCAAGATGTTCAAGGCATTATATACTAATAGCAACACTCTGAACTTCACCTGGTAACGTATCAGAAACCAGTGCGGGTCTCTGAGCAGAAGTATTATATGCTGATAAAGTCTCACTCCTGTCAGCCATCATTTTAGGGTCTGCACTAACTGCAGCTTTTAGATCAAGCACAAGAGGAAACCACAACTTTTTTCATCACCTTTCCCCCCAAAAGGGGTATTTGTAACTGGTTGATAGTTGTTCCAGTCTAAAGGATCCAGAGCTGGTTTCTTGCAGAGTGACTACACCACTGCCCCTTTCAAGGCAGAGGGAATATCAATGTAGCATTAACCATGCTCTGGACCCAACCAATCAGACCCCCTGTGCTAGATTTTAAAAGCCATGAGGGACATGAGTCAAGAGGCCATGTGGTCAGATATATTGCTGCCAGCACTTCGTCGTCATTAGCAGACTAAGCTACAACTGATCCCACAACACATAATTGATTCTGGCCCTGGGTACTTCAACCAGAACTGCAACAACTCCAGCGTCAAGATCACTCCAAACTCAAGCACCTTTATCCTTTCCTCCATGCACTTTTGCTTGTGGTCCCTGTTGCCTACAAGGGAATGTGACCCCGAAGGCTTGGGTCCTTCATTCTAGTAGCCACTGGCCCCACCAATGTCCTCTATCCCCTGCCACACTTAACCTCTTTCCAGCCTTTCTTACAACATAGCTTGGACCAGACTGTTTTCTCTCACAACTCTTTCTTGGGCTCTCTGGACTGCACTTTTAGCTCCTGTAGCTCCACTGACTCATCCTGCTACCCCTACTGCTTCTGATGGAGCTATGCTAACTGTTACAAGGAAATGAAGCCTTGCACCATGGGGCTTGGGGAAAGCTAAGGCATATAAAGAAGGATTTTCACCAAGCTGCTGCTGAAGGTTATTGCTGAGAACCTTTGAGGGATTTCAGAGCTCTGAAAATCAGAGGGGACATGCATTGTGTATGCACAGCATAGCTACGGCATGCCAACTGAAATTTCTAATTTTATAAAAACCAAAGAACAGTCCCTATTTAGCCAACATTTTGAAGACACTGGCCAATTGCTGCCCCCACAATTCTACCAACACCATGTGCCACTTTGCCTAATGAAACAAACTGTTGCACATGATTCTGTTCGAATGAAAATAAGTCTCTTGTAGGGCTAGAGTTTCAGAACATGTCTGTAGGGCCTGTCTAGACAGAAATTATCTTGCATTACAGATAAATTTACAGATTAAGCAACACAAGTTTCTGCTGGGGATAAACCTATATTAGTTTAAAACCATATTTGTTTTGTATTTTTAAGAATCAGTTTAACGTTGTGCATTTATAGCGGAGAATAAGCTGAGAGAGGATGCCACATAAAGATATCACTGCACAAAGTTGTAGAGCATCCTTTGCCAACCTGATATCCTCCAGGTGTTTTAGACTACAACTCGCAATGCCTGATGGGAGTTGTAGTCTAAAACATATGGAGGTTCTGGAGGGTTATTGCACTAGTTCAGCAAAGCTGCTAAATAGATTAAACATAACTGTACATTCAAATGATGGTGATTATCTGATTTTAAGACAGAGAACAGGAGAAGAGAGAAAGCAATTGAAAAACAACAGCTTTACAGTCATACTGAACATTATCAGTGCTCCAAAATTCTACTTTTGATGGTCTATAATTCTATTATTTATTAACATTTTAAAACTGTTTTAATCTGAGAGGGTCTCTGGGTTTATCACCCAGTAGAGTGGCCATTCTATGGAGGCTAATTCTAAATTCTGTGCATGGTTTGTGACTAACTCATACCCAGAATAGACTCATTATAATCAATTGACTTAGGTCCAAATTCTACAATGTGAGATGCAGCCTATAATGTGCAATAGCTACAGGGACCTGCTTGCAAGGCACTTGCTTGCCCCTTAATTCATGTTGCTTTATAGATTTGATAGCATAATTTTGCACAAGGACTGCTTAAATAACAGTTTAGATATAGCAGCGTAAGCAGTTCTCTTTTGTTGATAAGGGAGGTCCACAGCATCAAATGGCCCCTCAGCTGTTCTACACGGGAGCTTAGGACAGCTCCCTTAATTCAAAGTCAAATTTGATGGAAATCAGCTGACCAGTTTAAATGTGTTTTAAGCTGAAAAACCCATAGCTTGGTAGTAAAACACATGGTTCATGTGCAGAAGGTTCCAGTTTAATCCCTGGCATCACTTGTTAAAAGATCTCTGCCCAATATCTTGGAGTGACACTACCAGAGTAGAAAGCGTTGGTCTGGATAGATCAAAAGATCTGGTGATAGAAGACAGCTACTTGAAAATAGTATGCGTTGTGAGTTTACTAGTGAGAAATATTCTAGTTTCATTACTTTAACACTGCAAAAGTGCAGTAAATAATGCATTCAGTTCTTGATTTGCTGATGTATGCTTGTTAGCAGAAAGTAGAAACTAAGAGCTTTTCCAGATATATGTACATACTGAAAAACTAAACAGGCAGATAGTTATTTTACTCAAGATGGTACTTCTATTTCCATCTACAATAAAATGTGTCACAACAATCTTTAATAAAAAAAACTATTAGAACATCCATTTGAAAGTTCTCATGACATCACCAATTATAAGTGGCACACTTCACTATTTTGTACACTTTAAACTCCTTATTTCATTTAAATATTTTATTTTTTAAAGGCTGAGGAACCCCTCACTACAGCACTCAAATTATGGATGTTATCTGCTAGATCTTCGGACCAATAGGAGACGAGAGTTCTAAATATTTAGCTAGCCCCTTTGCAATGATGCTACCATTTTATTGGCCTTCTCCGTATAAAGAATATAAAACAGCTATGTACTATGACTTCCCTGCACAATAGCATCCTAATATATAAAAATCCTCTGAAGGTTTAAACAAAAAAGCAGGCTTGTAAATTTCTTTTTTTGTAATAGAGAAGCTGAAGCCTCAGTGTTGCTCATTACCCATCATATAAATACTGATCTCTCTCTCTCTCTCTCTCTCTCCAGGTATAATCTCTAATCAAACTGGTTTTGTAGGTTTTTGTGTTTCAGGCTGGGTCCTAGCAGCACACATGTTGGTAAGTGCAGCCATTAGGAAATAATCATCAACGTATTTTTCTTCATTGTGCGCACATAGTGAACATTACTTATGGGAAGTAATATTACAAAAAATAATAACAGCAACATAATTTTACATATAACCCATGTGTTTATAGCCCTAACAAGGCAGATTATAATTTAAAAAAACTTAAATATTAATTACATTTTAAAAGACTACTGGGAGATTGAAAGGTGACAAAGTTAAATATCAGAAAAAATAGAGCTTCATTGGTGGGTGATACGAACACAAAGGTTGGCTTCAGATGAGACAGTGAATATCTCTTAACATTGGGTGGCACACATTTTCTGTAGGAGAGGCTTAAAAGCAAATTTCAAATATGGCCAGTGCTCAAATCATTCATTGCCTTTATTAGGACCTATGTCATTCTAAATTCAATCTGCCACTCTTTAGGAAGCCAATGGAAAGAGCACAGAACTGGACTAATGTGACCACTTCCTCTCAAGCTAATAAGCAGTTATGCTGCTGCAGAAATTCTGTAGAAATTGCGGACAATGGGGTACCACTATTGAAAATAATAACAACACCAATAGTCAAAGCGACATGGACTGCTGTGACAAAGTAGTTATTGAATAAAATAAGGATGTGGCCAATGCAAGTTGCACAGCTGAAAAGAAACACTGTTGCATCATGTCTTATATGTGATATTTCATGAAAGAAGTTACATCCTCTTGACTTAATCCAGCTCCAAATGCACTTGTAACAGTTAAAGGTTTTCCAGCCTCAACAAAGTGGAGATATAAAAATAAGAAGGGTTTGCTTACCATAGTTGTCCCACAAGTCTACCCATGAAATACTAATGACTCCTTTCCCCACATATTAGTGATTTAATTAAGCTGTGCCCTTCCTTTTCATTGCCTGTATTTACATTTGTAAATAAAAGTTTGTGTTAAAAGGGGGAGGGCATACCATAACAATCATACTAACCTACATCAATCATAGTTCAATTTACAAGACTTACACATAAATTTATTACAGTTGTATTTTGTCTTTTCCCAAAGAACTCAGGGAAGTTAAAGGGACAGTGCTCAGTGGTGGAGCATCTGCTTTTCATGCAGAAGCTCCTTGGTTCAATCCTCAGCATTTCCAAGGAGAGCCAGGAGAGATCCCTGCCTAAAACCCTGGAGCTTGCTCTCAGTTACAGTATCCAATACTGGGTGGACCAAGGGTCTAGCTCAATATAAGGCAGCTTCCTGTGTTCCTAAGTAGGAATTACCCCATTTTTCTATCAGCACAACAACCATGTGAGATAGGTTAGGAGAAACAATAATGTCTGGCCCAAGATCACTCAGTGAGCATCATGGTTAAGCCGGGATTTGAACCCAAGACTTATTGGTCCAATTATGACTGCAGTGTACAGCAAATTATTACATCAAATTACTGCATCTTACTGACGTACCCAACAATTTGATGGGTACAAAACAAAGTTGCAGGCTTGCAGCATTCACATGGCAAGAAATACTTAATAAATTGTGGCTAGGAGCAGGTGATGTATTTTACTATTTCAGATTCATACCTAGGAACCATTATCAATGTCTTTCTAATGCCCTTGACCAGTAAAGCGAGATGAGCACCGCAACCCCAGAGTCGTCTGCGACTGGACCTAACGGTCAGGGGTCCTTTTACATTACTAATGCTGCCCAGTGCCCATTATTATCTTTTTTTGTATCCTGATCTGGATCAGATTCCTCCAGAAAGTACAAATTTGCGCCATTAAAAGAGTTGGTATTTTCCCACTGCCACATGTGAACTGAGTCCTATAAACATAGGGGCATGATCCACAGAGCTGCCAGTGCTCTTTCAATACATCACTGTTGGATGCATCACATTCTTATGACAATAATACACTGAAATGATTTTTATATATCCTCATAGTTATCCAGATCCATCACACTGGAGGTGCCCCAAAGCTTTAGCAGGACCATCTTTAAACAACTTTTTCCAGACCTGGAACTTGGGTGTGTAGCTAATGGTGGCACTGATCTTTCACACTGCAGGTGTTAGTAGCTAGCACTGAACCTTGCAAAGTCTACTATCCTACGGGGAGGCTGGCACTGATCCTTACAAATGAGATATTTCTATAAATAAAGGTCTCATTTGTTTCCAGCCTTAAATAACCAGATTGGGGAACAAACAAAATAGGAAACAGTAGGCCTTTGTAGTAACAGGACAGACACGTCTTCCTTCATAACTTCACGAAAAACTTACAAAGAAACTCATTCTTATCCTTTATGATCAAAAGACTTGGCATCCCTCATTCTAAGGTGGAGTTTATCATCGTCACCCAGCAAAAGATGCCAACCTTTTCTTAGAAGATAGAGCAGGCAGCCTTCTCTAGGTAGGCAGCAGTCCCTGGAGCAGCTCTAATAAATGACTTATTTGTGTGTTTAAAGGGCAAACTACATGTTACACTGCAGCCGCATACATGGGACCCAAGACTGTCCCTCCTCTGTTGCAATGCATTCTCAGCAGGAGGTGATTTGCACTGGAGAACCCTTCCCTTGAAACCTAGCCCTATCTAGCCACCCCTAACCCTGAAGGGCTGAAGTTCTGTTTTTCACAAACAAGTGTCTGGATCCCTGAAGGATGAAAGCAGTTGGGAGTTTCAGGGAGAAAGCAACTGAATGGGGAAGAGTTAAGCACTCTCTCACTTCTGCCCCTTGTTCAGTGCAAATCATGCACTCCAGAGGCATTGTAATATACAGCTGCTGTCTAACAAGTAGTGTGCTGCTTGGGTAGTATTTTGAAATTAGTTTCCATCTGGAAAACTATAAACCCAAAGTGTAGCTTCAAAGAAAAATAAAAACATTTGAAGATTGAACAAAAATTGTGGCATATGGAGAATATAATAATTCTTCATTAAACCATACCATCAATAAAATACACCAAGCCATCTTTCTTTGGAGAGGCTTTAAAAACAACAAGCCAACCAGCCAGCCAGCCAAGGGCTGTACCATTTCACAAACAACTCTACCATATCAATGGTTACAATTTATTATTTATCTGCACTTAGAAATTTGTATTCTTACGCTACCAATAGGTCTTGCTTTCCAGATCAATAATTTTATATTGTGTCAAGTTATAAATAATTAGCACTAAAAGCTAATTATTACTATACTAAGAGCATTTATCAGTTATTGGTACAAATAATCAATGAAACCTTTCATTGCACATTAAAAAAAATGTGGATATTTAATCAGGACTGTCCCTGTAAAAAGGAGATCAATGCATATAGCATGGTTATAAATCTTTTGAGTCCAGCAATGGGGTTGATAGTTTTACATAGAATTTGCTATTGTTTCACGAATAGAAATCATATCCTCAGGATAAAATTATGGAATGTTGTGTTATTTAATAATAAATTTTACATTTTTTAATTTATTAGTTAAAAGCAAGTTACAACTCAAATTTGTCAAATTGGCTTACAAATCTATACATAATAAGATAATCTGAGGCCTGCTCTTATATATATTCACTGCAATAAGAAAACAAACAGAAAAACTGCAGTAAAATATGTTTCAAAATGCACAATGTTTTTAAGAGGCATAATTACTGCAAACTGTATTTATGGACTATGGTGATTAAATGGCTGATTTATGTGACTATTTTGCTACAGTGTCAAAAAAGCGAACCGACTAGTTTTGTCTGCCTTTTATAGTTGTTTGCTACTTTATATGCTATTGAATCTGAAATTCTAGAATTGAGGCAAAAATGTAGATTGTAACAAGATAACTGATATAAGCAAGATAATCTCACCCAACAGAACAGTATGGAAGAGCAACATGGGTTTGTGAAAACTGGAAAATATCTAGAATGCTACCTTTCAACCCTAATTATGATATCCCAGCCAATGACAAAGAAGTGACAAACCTAGCGGGTTACTATTTAGTTGTCCCCATACTTGCTACTTTCTCAAAAATAGACAACAAAATTCATATGAGAAATGGCAGAGCATTTTTCCAATGGCGATGATCTTCAAGTCATATTTTCAACTTCCTTAAGTACCATAACTTATTGGGGCAAACCTTGTACCCTAAAGAAACTGGGTAATAAATTATACTCAAGAGTATTTCCATTGAAGTTAAAGGACTTAAGTTGTTTTCAGTTTGTCTACTTGAGAGTATGATACAGCGGATACTACCCACTGTATATTCAGGGAGAGATAAGGTACTAAGTTCCAGCAGTTATTTTATCACTGCTGGTTATGTATCACAATGCCTGGCTCTAAACTGGCTTTTAAAACTAGAAGTTGAACCAAACCTATATATTGAGATGTATAACATGAAGGAAGTGTGTACGTTCAAAGTGTGAAAAAGCGTATATTCCCCACCCCACCCCATTACGGAAAGAGGGAAAATTATATATTTTAGAAGTCTTATTTTCTCTAATTCAGAACCTAAGTTATAAACAGAAATATAAATTTTTGGTGCAAATTTCAGTGCATAGAAAAGAAAAACAGTTAACCATACAGTGGAGTTTAAGAAACTTGAAATGTGCTACACTTTTTAAATTAATAAAGTTAATATACATGTTAATGATGATTAGGATTAGCAGAAAAACACAGACAGCTTTTACAGATAGACACTTGATTCCATGGACACTTACAAAAAAAATTATAATATTCCTATACACACCCAATACACATCTCATTTAATTCACTGGAAGCTACTTCTTAGTACACATGTATGGGATTGCACTGTAACTCAGAGCAAGACGAAATAATTTTTATAATATAAAGGTTTCTTAAAAAAAAAAAACAACCATCATTGGACATACTATTCTGCCTTCTGCCTTCACATGACCTCGTTAATGCATTTACATAAAAATAAGAATTAAACGTCTATTTTTTAAAAAGTCGCATTCAATTTTTCCGTACAGATTTGTTCTGTAAATATATTTTCAGAAGATTCAATATTTATATTTTAATATATGCATCTCCTTCAGTAGCTAAGATCATGACTAAGACATTTTATAAATGAATGATGCCTGGGGCTATGATCCTGAGAATAATTATGCAGGTGTAAATCCCATCTCAATCAATGGGATTTGCATCCACTTAAATGTTCTTAGGATTCAGGTGACAAGATAACATCTAAATCAATGCATGTTAATTTCTGGGTCTGAAATGTTTGTCTCAGGCTACATTCCTGTGCACACCTACATTAGTCAGCCCTGTTAAATTTCATGGACGTTACTACTGAGGCAATATGCATACAACTGAGCTATAGAATACTTTGAACTGCTGCACTGAAATGCCTGGTACGGTCACGGTCTGGCCTACAAACACAGCAGTTGCGTCATACGCAATATTGCATTCTGTGACGGACTATTGCATTTTTTTTATATATGTATCAGTACCTAGTGACAGACAGAGAAAGAAAGAAAGAAAGAAAGTCTCAACTGGTGGTTAGCTTTCATTTCAAAGTAGAATATTCCAGTGAAAGCATAATTTTAAAAACATCCCCCCAAAATACCTAAAACCAACATAAATATGCAAAACGACAGGCCCCTGTGTACCACCATAGATGCTGGCTACACCAGTGCAACACAGTTGTACCACTGATACAGCACTATGAGGTTGCTGGTGTTGGTTCATCCAGTGCTAAGCACCTGCAGATGCAGCAAGTCTTAGGAATGGGCCACATAGGAATTAAACAGGGACAATTTGGCTCAATTTGTGTATGTTGATTAAATTTGATACACGAACATCCACATACAAACAGAATTCATCTTCTGGGTCTATTTTTTAAAATTATTATTATTATTATTATTATTAACTTCAAGAATCCATTTTCCAATTTTTGCATGCAGCAAAACATATCCTTTAAAATGGTTACGTGAGAATGTGCAGCTTTTTATTTTTCAGCAGGAGGGGGACACCCACTCCCCATCCCCATGTCTTTCTTTACACCTCAGCCATTAATTATAATCCTCAGATTTGGATGGTTATTCGAGGAAGAAACGCTGCAAGCCTTGGAGCCTGCAGATGGGTAGAACTGGCAGGTGCTCGCTTCTAGTTTGTTCTACAGTTCAACTCTCTTAAAGCCATACTTACATTATTTTTTTAGGAAGTTGACATAGAAGTGAACAATGAGGTGG